TTAATCTATTATCTCTTGTTAACCAAAATAGAAACTGATATTGAGGCTTCCACAGGAAGAAGGGACACAATGCTTGCTCTGGCCTCCAGCAGCAGAAGCATCAGTAAATAGAAGACAGAAAGAGCCATAAGATTATTTTCTAAATGAATGAATATTAAATAAAGCTCAAATATTCTATCAACAGAGTAATCTTTTTTCATTAAGAAACCATATGTGATCAGATATATCAAAGTACAACATTTGAAGATTGATGTATTCGAGTTGTAAAAAGGTCATTTACTTAATAAACAATACAGGATATGTAAACATATGTGATGCTGTCATGTGTAAGCAAGTCAAGGTAAGGCATTTGGAGTGCACCTTATGTTCTAGCATCCAGTGACATAGTTGGCTGGGCTGCTTGACTTATATTGACATTTATATTGACATGATTTGCAGTCTGCAATTCAGATGGAACAAAAGACGGCTTGGGAGGCATTTCAAGTAGCTGAACTTCACTTTCAAGCATCTCCAAGACTTTGCTCATCGAAGGACAAATAGCAGGTTTCATTTGTATGCACCACAATGCAACTATGACAATCTTCCTGACAAGATTCTTTTCAATATCTGTAACATCTCCCAACTCTATGTCCTCTCCCTGATCAAATCGCTCATGGATCCATGCTGGAAAGTATATCTGACTTGATTGGTCAGAAAATGAATTTTTGTTCCTTCTTCCTGCCACCATTTCCATCAACAACATTCCGAAGCTATAAACATCAGCCTTATATGAGATGCCTCCAATTTTCTTGTAGAATAATTCAGGAGCCGTGTATCCTAATGTACCTCTTACTACAGTGAGAGATACAACACTATCATTTGCGGGATATAGTTTTGCAAGGCCAAAATCAGAAACTTTAGGACTAAAATTCTCATCCAGAAGGATATTGTGTGGCTTGATATCAAACTGTAAAATCTGCATTTCACATCCTTGATGTAAGTATTCAATCCCTTTAGCCACCCCAATAGCAATCTCAAACATTTTTTCCCAACCTAAAGATGTATCACTGTTTCTTGAAAATATGACTTTATCCAAGGACCCATTAGGCATGAAATCATAAACTAGAGCTTGTTTTGATCCTTCAACACAAAATCCAATGAGTTGCATGACATTAGCATGATAAATCCTACCCATGGTGGCAACTTCATTGATGAAATCTTGGCCATCTGATTTTGCCCTGCCCAGTAATTTAATAGCTACAAAATGTCCACTTCAAAGCTTTCCTTTAAAGACCGAACCATAGCCTCCTTGACCCAATTTATCCTTAAAACCTCCAGTGATTTTCTTTATTTCCGAGTAAGTGTACCCGATAGGCATGAAGTTATTCTAGTTCTGAAGGAACTCTTCAATCATATCATCCACAGACAAATGCCTCCTCCGAAGTTTGTATGCAACTATCACAAGCAAGATGGATATCCCCAACAGAGCTCTAGTGAAAATAATTGC